CACTTGTTACTTGGGAGAAAAGGCTGACCACACCTTGCTACGCCCTCCTTTCAGGTAGTCGTAGAGCAAGGTCTCCCCTCAGCCTCCTCCAGCCTGAACAACCCCAGGTCCCTCAGCTGCTCCTCATCACGCTTGTTCTCCAGAGCCTTCACCAGCTTTGTTGACCTTCTGTGGACCCGCTCCAGCACTTCAATGTCTTTCTTGTCGTGACGGGCCCAGAGCTGAGCGCAGGGCTCAAGTTGTGACCTCACCAGCACCAACCACTGGGGGACAATCCCTTCCCAGCTCCTGCTGGACACACCAAGATCCAGCCCAGGATGCCATTGGCCTTCTTGGCCCCATGGGCACACTGCTGGCTCGTGTTCACCAACACGCCAAGAGCCTTTTTTGCCAGACATATTTCCAGCTGCTCCTCCTCAAACCTGTAGTGCTGCTATGAAAACAACAGTGCCCTCTTCCCTAAGGTTTTTACGATGTTTCATTATTCTTACCGAGAATTGCTTCGCTCTCCAGCTTAGTGTGATATTTTGCTGGAGATTTAGAATGGAAAATAACTTAATGGTCTAAATTCACCTAAGAGAAATTGGGGGAAAATCCACTGAGTTCGATTAATTAGTTGATTTTCACTGGCTCCAGATTTGTCACTTTGATTAAACAACACATTCAGTAGGCAGGTGCCTTGAGAGAAGATGGATACCAGGTAATATATTTCCCTTGCTGTTGAATGAAGAAATCCAAAATACCAAGAGAAAATCCAACCGACGCTCACATCACCTCTGTCCCAGTATCAGATGAAAGTCGTATCAACTCTTGGTGACAGCTCATACCAGCCCAAAGTCCCCAAAATAGGTCCCAGCTCCTCAAGGATAAGACGACGGCCTCTGGTGAGGAGGCAGCAGGGGGACCTGTTGTGTGCAGAAGTGGACAGGGGAGAGAAGTGTCCCTGGGTTGCCCCAGGTAAGCCCTTCCTATGGGAAGAAAGGTCCTTCGTTTGGCCGGTGGGATTTGGGGTAATCTGAGGAAGCAGGATAAAGAGCAGGAAGGAGGAAGGACTCACCAGGCACAGTCCTGCCCTTGTGCTGCTTCAAATTGTTGTTTCTACCTCTGGTGGCACCCTGTCTAGATATCTGAGATAGGTTTTGCACCATCAGTAGCTGGTTCTACGCCATCGCTAGCTAGTTCTACAAATACCCAATGGTTTCTTCAGAAGGGAAACCCTTCCCAATTTAATTAATCCCAAGTATGATCCCATTATTGCAGTGCGTAAGACTAAATATGCAGCCTGGATCTTACACGTAAGAGCAAAAACCTTGGCAGGAGGTTTGGCCTCACATTCATACAGTGTTTGATCAGGCTGCCAGGGCAATAAAAACGGTGCACGGTCAACAGCTGGAGTGGCTCTAAAAGGCAGGACTGTGTGCACAAAAAAGGGGTTGAAACTCAATCCTCATGCAAAATACAAGTATTGCTACCTATAAATACATCCATTCAGAATATTTCAAATAATTTATGTTTTAAATACAACAATGAAAGAAAGATACAGCATTATGATCTAAAAACATTTCTAAAGTGAATCACTGTGGCAAATGTGGTCTTCTAAGACCATTTCAATTAAAACTACTGCAGTCAGGTTCACTGAAAAGCAAAAATAACGGCAGCCTGTGAAACTCAAAATATGATTTGGTTCAGTGAGCATGTTTGAACAATCAGAAAACTGCACAACAAAAACAATCCCTTCATTTATATCTTGGACAGTTTAATGAAACAGAATTAGTTTTCAGTGAAGGCAGGTTTAGTTAATCTAGGTGTAAATTAAATTTCTTTTCCTTTACCTAAAGCTTCTGAAGGACCCTTCTTTTGGCAATAACGTTCTGCATTGTACAGAAATCAAGAAGAAATGATTCCAAGGACAGAATCTTAGCAGCATGCCCAAAATCTCCCAGAAGGCTGGGGCACGATTACCGTATTGGAGTAGTAAGACCCCATTTTATTACCATCATTAGACCAGCTCTGTGCAGAGAATTAAACTGTGTTCTGTGAACACACCTGAATAAAGATACTGCTTGTTTAGACACCCTTAGAGACTCATCTCACTTAACATGCCAGAATTTCCTTTGCCTGCCCAACCAGGCCCATCAAAACAATGGGCAACACAAAACTTTTCAGCTTTTATTTAAGTTTTTTTTGCATACACTTGCATTTTTTTAAAGGTGTATTCCAATTAAGTTTATTTTAAGTCCTTGCCACAGCTACCTGTGCAAACAAACACATAAAAGTACCATGTCACATTTGGACCCTCCCATAAAAATACTTGAAATTAGTCCACCTGAATGTTATTTTTTTCAAACATTTTCAAATATTAATTTATTGATTCTTCCTTGATAGTATTTAAACAAAACTAGACATCTTTATTGATGAAGATCTTAGGTCTGGATCTGCAAAAGTACTTTGGTCCCTAAAGATGCATACTCTGCAATTTTCTAAAAGTCTTCAGTGTAAACAAAGCTTCAGGTTGGTCTAGTAAATTATGGTAGATGTTCACCTGCAATAATGAGGCACCAAAGCACTCTTGTACATCTTGCTTTGAGGGAGTAGAAACATAGAAAAATTTTCTTGGTTAAATTAAATTTACTTTATCTATATTGTTCTCTCATGTGAGGATTTCCTTAATTTCTACTTGTTCTTCTTAAAACAAGGTTTTGTGCACTTCTTCGCATCCCAGCTGACCGTCTCCTGTACCCCTGCACCTCTGCTGAGGCTGTTCACCTGTTTTTGGACTTATTTTCTGCTTAACTGTTCACAACACGATAGGATTACCGACCTATTCTTGGAAAGTGAAGTGCCTGGTTCAGGAAAGCTTTGTGGTGAATCTTGGTCACATTAGTGCTTAACTGCAGCTAATAGAAGTCCTGAAAACACCACTCCAGAAAGAACAAACAGGGTAATTTCACATGCATTCGCTGCCTATTTTGCTTTTTGCAGTATTTTCAGTAGGCCTGGTGTTTAAATCCCATGGTAGAAGCCTCGTTCAACCTGCAGTCTACTTTACTACACAGTTTATTTTCCATCTTACTATCCGATGCGCTTCCTGGTATAATTATATCCCAAATAACCCAAAATAATTAATTATGAGAACACATGCTCATGTTCAACCTCACACCTGCAACAGCTCTTCGTTTCTGGAGCCATTCAAAGATACCACACACAGCCTCAGTTCCCAAGTGACTATGTCAGGCAGTTTATACCTTTCTCATCACAAGGTGATTTCTGACCCTGAGAAGTTTTGACTTTCAGATTTAGAGCATGAACTTAGCGGTAGCGTCAGCAAGGAATTTACTGTCGGGCGGAGGTTGATCGGTTTAGAAAACCCAATGCACCACAAGCAAAGATTACATCCACCTTTTACCAGGTGAAGTTTCGATGGAGAGAGTATTGTTCTTTGCAAAAGCGTGGGTAAAAAATCCAAAGATATGGAGGACAAAAATGATCAGAAACTAGCACTGCCTCTTCCCCTCGCTTGCTCTTCCCGGTCCCTGTCTTCTTTTTACTGCATGATCCACACAACAATACCTGTGAGTGCGCAGTTAGTATTGTTATCTTTTATTGGACAAGTTATACCATGCATGCATGCTCGGAATAATAAAACCAGGTTTTTAATGTCACAAAATGTAGTTACTCCACCAGTCCAGGAGAAAGCTGCATCTGCGATACATGGATCGGATGGGGGATTATGTTTCAAGGGTGACGCAAAAGCTGATTAAACAGCAATACCATATTCACTTCCCAACAGACTAGCTCAGTAAGGGAGAGCAAAAAGCATCAGGCAATGTCTTCTGTGATTCAACTCATTCCTCATGTGTAGGACTTCTAGGAAGATGATAAATCCTAACTAGCAATCCAAGATTGCTGAAATGGTTTCGGTTTGAATGTTTTAAAAAGTGCTCTGGTTTGGCAGAGAGGATGAAGCAGGAATTGCCACTTCTACTCCTCGCTAAGCACAGCGGCAAATTAAATGCTTCACAACTGCACCACCGTGTTGGGATCCAAGTAGGGAACAGGAGGAAGCCAAGCAGTACTTGATGAGCTCACTTTCTTTATCATGAAGTTTACTAGTTCCATGACTTCCTGCTGCCTGGGGCCTGTCTACAGATTTCCAAACACTGGGTAGCTTTAGATATTTAGACCTCACAAGCCTAAGAACAATTGTATGAAGCAACTTATTTTTAAATAAAATCCTGGTTTATTACAATTCAAATCCCACGAGCATGTTGAAGAGATTTTAGTTGGATTTTTCTCTTCTTTTTCTAAAGACAGAACTACATCATTTTAAACCACTGCAACAGAATATAAAGCAACAGTTCTCCTGCATCATGCCACAGAGTCACAGAATCACAGAATGGCCTAGGTTGGAAGGGACCTTAGAGATCATTTAATCCAACCTCCTGCTGCTCCTGTTCAGGAAAGGCACAGTGTTTCACGGAAAACAATTAATGCATATTACCAGATAAAGATTTTCTGCTTTTAGTAAGCTAAGCGAATTTTGCATATAGCGTAAGTCCTTTAACTCATCCCCAATTTGACATGGAAAATCATAATTTAACCATGTCACTAATGTTGCCACAATGCAATTCATAGTTCTTTAGCAAGGTCAAGAACACCTATAGTTTTTAAGATGAAAGCCTGAGTACTCACTAGCAGTTAGCGAAACCAAAATGAAAAGACTTATTAAAATAAGTTATTTAACCTAAACTGTAATCGCGCCAAACAGATTATAGATGAAAAGTAATTCCAGTGAGGAAAGTAAAAGAACTTCAGTTTTCAAACATTTTAAATTAAGAAATGTGCTAGCTGCCATTTTACTAGCAAAACAGACCCTCTCCTGTAAGTGATAAGGGGTTTTAATCAGCTAAAACGTGCAAACAAAAAAGGTCTCCAAGTGAGAGAAATATCAGCAGTTCATATTGGACACAAGGGAATAAAATCCTTGAGAACTGTTTCCTTTAATCCATTTTCTTGTCAGAAACTTCTGTGGATCTCTTTACAGCAATTCCATTTGCAACACCGTTGCTTTCAAACTGCAAATAAAAGACACCATCATTAATGGGATGTCAGAAAAGGACTTCACACCCAGAACAGTAACAGCTGATGGTGAAAATAGCTTCAGAAGCAAGGCCAGGGAAGATCTATGAATAAATCTGCAGCAAGAACCGAAGTGGCAGCGTCTCTTTAGATTTATATATAAATATTGCTTCGGGGAGGGGGAAGAGGAACGAGGGCAGAGACAACATATACAAGTTGTCGCATTTTGTTAGAAGAGATGAATAATAAACGCACAATTTACACACATGAAACATTTTCCTCCATTGTAAGTGGCAGAGCTGGCTCATAAGTTGTGTATTTTTTTAATTCTGCTTCATGGTGTGATGTACCAATTATTTGACTTCTTCCTTCTCTGAAAGAACAGCCAGCTCTTGAAAAAAGTTTAAAAATTAACTAAGCTATTTCAGAAAACAGCTTGGTATCCTTCCCAGACATAGCAGAAGCTGTCTTGAAAAAACTACTTCTAGCTGGCTTAGTACAAGTAACTTTTTCAGAAGAAAACGTCTGTAAAAACACCCCAACTGTTTATTCTTGTGTGGTGCTCACCCTGAACTATTGCTGGGTGCTTTATCTGGAGTTTCCCTGGTTAGCTAAATTCATTAATCTTACTTTATAGATTTCAGGTTCATCCTCTTCATCTCCTTTCGCAGCTGAAGGCACCCGTGGTTTTCCAGCGCTGCCTCCTTGACCTTGTTTTGTGGCTGTTGTTTCTTGCACAGCTTGCTTGGGCCAGACACGTTTTATGAAAGGGGCGATAACGGGATAGATATACGGTTCAAGAAACTTCTTGTAGACCCAGAGGAGAACTGGAATGACGATACAAGGAATGCACACCATGGCTTCCTCGAGCTCTGTGACAAAGCTGGCAACAGAAAAAAAACCCCACCACAACTTAGAATGACAGTTTGTCTGCCATGAAGTAAAAGAACAGTCTTAAATAGTGAATAAAGGTTGTAGCTGGTATCCAAACATAGAAGAGTCTTTAATTACAGATTAACTGTTAATGTTTCAAAAATGCTGTGTATTCCAATGTTATAAAGTCTTCAACAATCGAAACATTCTTGAAGTTTTAATGGAAAAGCAGCAGAGTCTGCTATTAATTCCTCCGTCCTGCAGCTGGAACTTAAAAAAATAAATTTAGAAAACAAATTGTTCAAACCACACAAAAACAGATTAAGCAGTGAGCTGCACACATTAGTTCCTACTATAGTACAACAGAGGGTCTGAAAGGTTTGTTTTTCTTATTCCCTTTCTACAAGCTAAATGGCACGACTCCAGTCGAACTAATGGCTTGTTACCACTGAAAGGCAGGTCAGTGAGAAAAGGAGAACACACGTTACGTTCCTTCCCTCTGCACTGGAGGAATTACTTAATCCCCAAACAATTGGCCAAACTTACTAGAAAATTAATCCTTTCCTCTCTCTCCAAACAGGGAAGAAGTCTTCAAAAACAGCAGCCTGAAGCCTGCAGCGAGAACAGCAGAGGAAGAGGAAGGAGCAAATCAGAATTAGTTACAGGTGCCCCTTGCAGTGCTGAGGAGCAACATAGAAGACACGCTCTGCCGCACGGGGCAGCTTTGCCCTTCACATCCCTCCCTTCCAGGCTGCTGACATCTGAATTCTTCCATTAAGAAGCAAATAACAAAGGCTTTCCAGGACGGAGAACGAAGAGGCAGACGCTTACACCACATCTGGGAAGTTTCTTTTTTTTTTTTAAGCTATCCTAAAGGTTTTTAGCTCCGGCCTTAAAGCTGACAACTTTCGAGTGTAGTTTCAGCTACTTCAGGTGTAGCTTTATGGGATCTGCTCTCCTGAGTCAGAAAAGTATCTTAAATTGAGACAACATAAAGAGGGTAACCCATCAAAGCTGTTGAAAAAGACAATTCATGTACTCTCTCTGCCAGAACTTCTTAGATACTAAAGTTTTCAGCAAGATGTTGTGGCTTCATCCCTTAGGTAAAGAATGCGCCTGGAGGGAATGCTCCAGGCATTTCTGAGGCCAAAAAAAAAGCCTCTATGGCCACTTTGTGTGAAGCTTCTAGACCAAAATAATAAGTCATACCTCTGCCAAATGCAAAAGAAAGTCAGCAGACACATCAAATAATAATTTAAAAGCGTTAGGAGTTTCTTCTGCCATTTGGTGATGCTCTGTCAGCTGGTTAGGAGGCCACTAATTAAAAAAAAAGGGGGGGGGGGGGGTTGGAAGAGGAAAAGGGCAAACAATCCAGCTTTACTGGCAAGCTTATTTTTGTGTGATACAAGCTTCTGTTTGTCTCTGTAAGCCACCATACATTAGGGCCAACAGAGAAAACACATGACATGGCACATTTAAGGACATTTGGTCTTTGTTTCCTGTGTAACTCAATAATGACAGAAATAGTAAAAAAGGCTGCGCAGACAAAACCACTTTTTCTCTTTTCCCCCCCCATAAAGGACGGCC